ACAAGAAGCTAGTGGCTTCTTGGTAAACTGTTAATTTAGCACAACATAGATGAGTGTGTAAAATCCTCCAACCACTATTTGGGAGTCCACATGCACATGCATCACACAGGTTTTCTGATTACCAAAGCGACAGGCCTGTAAGCACCCCGAGGGCACCCGCTGGTACCGGTGAAGCCCCATCTCTGAGAAGGGACTTGGATTTGCTGAGTGGCCCGTGGGTTTTCTTTCCGTTTATGCACCTGTCTCCTGAGTTCACAGTGTTTACCCATGAATCCTGATTTGCAGATGCATCTTCCTGACATATCACAGCGTAGGGACATGGATCTTAAAGGACTGCAGCCACAGGGTACACAGAATTGCCTTTCTGGGGCCCAAAAATAGTTGCTCTTTAAGAGTGAAAGGCAAAACAGAATTAGCAAACAAAGGCAGAGAGGTGAGATGAAAAGAAAAATGATGAGAAAAAAGTGTAGCATTAAATAAAGATTAGCTTTGTATTTGCCACCTGGTAATGCAGATATGAAATGGAACGCACCACACATTGAATTTGATCACGAGAACTCAAATATAAATGCCGTGGTTAGCTTTATTTATTATATGTATGTATTGTATAGCAAAGGGTGCATTTTGCCCTCTCTTCCACCTGGTATGTTCCAGTGATATTATAGATTGTACCCCCCTGCTCTAGCATCCTCAGCACCTGACTAATGCTGAACCAGGGAATTTGTGGGATGAACAGAGGTCAATGCTGGCCCCTCTGCTGCCACCAAATGCGGGCGGTCCAGGGGGATACTTGGGGAAAGAGACAGGGTGGCTGTGGAGCCCCATGTCTATGGGTTAGGACTCAGGAGCTCAGCCCCACAGGAGCTCACTGAGCCCCGTGGCTGCCAGGCTGCGCTCCCAGACCTCGCTGCCAGCTATGGGACTATGCTCTTGTCCACCAACCTCAGAATTCCACAGCCACCCTTCCTCTTCCCCCAAGTGTCCTCCCATCCCCACTCCTCCCCTCTTCTCCCTGTGCTATTTGCAGCGCCCAGAAGCTCTGGGAAGAATGGGTGAGGAGTTTCTGAGTGAAGGGCCAAGTTTTTTTCCCATGAGTGCTCCAGCTCAGGAGTATCCATGAGGATGCTGGACCACAGATGTTGCCAGATGATGGCAGTCCAGATTACCGAAGATCCAACCTATAGCGGGGCTTCCTTGAACAAAACCTTTGACTGATGTTGAAAACCAAAGTAGAGGCATTTATGGAGGCCCTGCCCCAGAAATATACTTACTTAACTAACAAACATAACTAAATGTGGAAATAATTACATTCACTCCATAGAATTCCTCATGTGCTTTAAATTAGGTGCCTGCTTAGGTGTTTCAATGGATATTGGCCAAAGCCAGTTCTCACTCAGCAATCTCTGGAGCTACAATAATCCATGAAGTATTGCCTGCTGGTCTAAACAAGAACACACTTTTGAACATTAAGGATTTGGGACCTGGGCTGTTGGGTGGCTCTATGAGATGAACTGTCTTTTGCAGTTTTACACTTTGGAATTAACGCACCAAGACAGCAGGCAGTTTTGCCATGAAAATCTCAAAAAAGCACAACATTCAATGCAAAGACTACAAGGTTTTTACTTTTTTGCAAATCAGCCAGTCTTTTTTGAGGCAATAATTTTTCCCCTAGGGTTCTCATATGTATTGCATTCCCCATATACATTACATATCTATAGTGTATATAATTTTCAGGGGACTTAGAATAACAAGGTGTACATGTTAATTACACAGAAAGTGGCATATTCATTTAGTGCCGAGTTTTCCTCCAGAAAACTCCCAGAATACACACTGATCTCTTGCTATAGTAATAAAACCATTTAAACTTTGTTTTTCTGTGCATGGAACAATCCATGATACTTTTAAACGGAAAATCACGTAGTCACGTCAAACAGTAGAGAAGTATCATGTGAAATCCCAGTTCGGATTACTCACCTTACATTCATCACAGCGACGCCCCACAACATTGGGCTTGCAGTCACACTGCCCTGTCTGAGAGTTGCAGATCTCTGAGAATGAGCCATTGATGTTGCAGTGACATGCTACAGGGAAACAGACTTGTCACAATGTACTTGGTGAGGACATGAATAATAATACGTGAAAGATTACATACCAATTTCCTAACAAAGTTTTTTGAAGAAAAAATGTGCAGTATTTTTTGGCTAATTACTGGGAAGACCCTACGAGGTGCTGATCACCTTAAGCAGTTAAAGAAATACCAAGCACATCACAGCTTTACACGCCATTTTAGGATCAGTGAATCTCTAACTATAGATTATAAAACTGTATGTACACTGAGAAATTTTGCTTCAAGATAAATTAAATAATTTGCATGTCACCACAATCCAAAAATAAAATAAAAACATTCTGTTATGGTCTTGTTAACCTATAATCTAGGGTCTGAAACTTTTACTTCCTGTTCTACAGATTACATGCTCAAAATCTCATGGAAAACTGAGGAAAGAGGAACAAAGATCTGTTGAAGCCCACTGAATTTAAAGAGCATCCTGTCCACTGTACCAAACCTTTGTATTAGCAGATTGCTGGATGCATAGAGATGAAAGGTTTGGCTGTTGAGGTTTGGCTGCGGCTTCCCCGCAGCTCCCCTTGGCTGCAAACGGCGAACTGGAGCCAGTGGGGAGCTGAGAGACTCTGTGGCTGTGGAGCTGGTAAATAAACACACCAAAGTGGCCAAATAGCAGGTTTCTCAGAGCGGTTTCATGGACCAGTTTGAGAAACAGTTCTCTAGAGTTATATCCCTTGTCCTCTCCTTTCTCTGATCTTTCTCTAGCTCTATCTTTGGCCCACTTCCCTCACTCTTTTACTTCCCATTCCTCCTTATTGCCTCCTATTATTTTTTAATTTTTAAAACTACCTGCATTTAAAAAAAAGGATATATAATTATTATCATCACATAGCTGCTTCAAAATAGCTTTCTAATTCTGAGATCAACAGTGAAAGATGATACACTTGTAAACCTCCATTCTTAAAAGCCTCCTACATATTGTCAGCATGTAATATACATAGTAAGTCTATTGAGGGCATCATTCGATTTTTTTTATCTATTACTCATTTCCAAATATATCTTGAGAATTTAAGGCAGAAATTAAACTTTTTGCACACATGTCGGGATATATGATAAATAATATACTCAAAATTTCACACAGTGTCCTCTTATCTTGGCTAGGGCTGAGTTGAGAACGAGTGTAATATAGAGGTAAGGGCAGAAGATGGAAGATGAGACTCTGGCTCTTTTTTCCAGCTCCACCACTGTGCATGAAGTCACTTGCATTTAGTAGCATCATCGGCTAATCTACAGATGCTCACAATAAACTGCATTTATTCTCATTTATACACTGCTCACTTATTTACCTCCACTATTCTTGTCCAAGCCTTTGAGCAACTTCAAACAGTTGCTATGTAATAAACTAGCCTGTCAGGGAAATGTTTTCTTCTTTCCAGCAAATGTGGAAATTTCCCCTCAAATTACATTGGTCAAAATCTACTATTCACACTATTTACGCACACTCACCCATCTATCTTTATCTATGGTAGGGTACACACACATACACATCATTATGCAATTCTTATTTCATCCAACTGTGATATTACTACAATAATTGCTAGCTGTTTTCTCTGCCAAACCATGCACCTTCATACTACCATCACTAAAAACCAACTCTGAAGAATCAAATCAAATAGGCTTAGGACATTTGTTCTAACATTTCATTTACAAAAAAATACACTATGAAATTCAGAAATTCTGTGATAATATAAAGCTGGATCATCATTTGAAACGGCTAAGGCAAATGATAACAGCATTCTACTTAAGAAAGAGCAGGAAACATTTTAAACAATAATCTGAGAGCAAAATTCATATTTTATAGTAGTTTTGGATTAGGCTCTTTCATGAAAAGTGAAAATGGAAAACAACCACATAAAGTCACAGACTCTCTGATATTGTAGCTACAGGGCAAATATGATGGAAGTCTACTAAAGAAATATAAAATCTTATGCAAAAAGAAAATCCACATGAAAGGTAGAGGAAAAAAAAAGGAAAGGTAACTCTGAACATAATGATATGAATACATTGTGAGTCTCTCCTGCCAGAACTAACTACAAAAGCAAAAACTGAAATTATGTGTTAAAATTTATTTATTTTTAATACTTTATATTTTTCCAAATCTCTTGTCATATTCCAGATACCTCCCCTTTTCAGCTGCCACTGTTGCAGAAATGTTCAAAGCTTTAGCCATGTCAATGTTTGAGGGAGGGTGAGACAGTTATGGGAGCTGTGATTGCACCTGAAGTTTGATTTGTGCTTTTTAAGTGACATTAAAGTCTTAAATCATGTGACATCATATCATGAATTATTAACCAGTTCTGAGACCACTTGTGAATGCTATTTTTTTAACACTATCTAGGTACAGCATATTTGGAAAGTCCTATTACCCATATCACTGCTCTGTGCCTCATATCCCCCATCTGTAAAGTGAGGAGAATTGAAACTGACCATCTTTCTAAAGCACTTTAAAATCTACCGAGGAAAAGTGCTACATAGACGCTAACTTTATAATTTTGCATACACATACAGTCTATGGAGATAGTTACGCATACTTATCTGACTATATAGTTAGCTATCTCTACACATACACACAAGATATTGTTATGCACACACAGTTTATGGATACACGTGTGTATCCACACAACGGAAACACTTGATAAAGGATCAATAACAATGCTTTGAAATCCTTCATGAAAGGCTCTCTAAATGCTAAGAACAAAAAACTTTACAATATCCCATTGGAGATAAGTATTAACATTGTATATCAATTAAAGAGACTGCTAAGCAAAAACCTATATTTTCAAAGGGGGCCTCAAATTGGGGTACTTCCATTTCTGGATGCCCAACTTTAAACCTAAACAGTCTGATAGTCAGGGGGTGCTGACCAAAATCCTAATTTAATTCAAATGGAGTTGGTGGTGCTCAGAATCTACCAAAAAAGTCCTTAGAATTAGAGCCCTTGTACCCAAATATACAGACCACTTTTGAAACCATGCTTCTAAATGACGTCCCACTGTAAAACTACAAATCAGTACTAGACAAAACTACAAAACCAATTAGTGATGAGCCAGAATTTCATATTTTAGCACGTAGCCCAGTTTTCTCAAAGTGCTCTGTGAAACCATTCTGAGAAACCTGCTAACTGGCCGCTCCCATTTGTTTATTTACTGACTGCAGCCTTGGCTCCCCTTAGCTGCAAATGGCAAACCAGAGCCAATGGGAGCTGTGAGGCTCCGTGGCTGTGGAGCAGGTAAATAAACACACCAGAGTGGCCAGTTAGCAGGTTTCTCAGAGTGGTTTTGTGGGCTACCTTAAGAAACACCAACCTAGCCAAATGCTCCAGAAACTGCAACCTCAGCAGCATATTGCAGTAAAACCACCAGGGCTACGTCTAGACTGGCATGATTTTCCACAAATGCTTTTAACGGAAAAGTTTTTCGTTAAAAGCATTTGCGGAAAAGAGCATCTAGATTGGCACGGATGCTTTTCCACAAAAAGTGCTTTTGCGGATAAGCGTCCGTGCCAATCTAGAGGCGCTTTTGCGCAAAAAAAGCCCTGATCGCCATTTTCACGATCGGGGTTTTTTTTGTGCAAAACAAATCTGAGCTGTCTACACTGGCCCTTTTGTGCAAAAGCTTTGCGCAAAAGGGACTTTTGCCCGAACGGAAGCAGCATAGTATTTCCGCAAGAAGCACTGATTTCAGGCAGTAGGAAGTCAGTGTTCTTGCGGAAATTCAAGCGGGTAGTGTAGACAGCTTGCCAGTCTAGACACAGCCCAGCTGTTTCTCTTCTAATTTACACTAGTTTTACACCACTGTAACTCAAGTGGCCCCTGTGGCCTTGTGATGGGGTGCCGAGACCCCGCACTCAACGCCCGAGATTCTGCGCCCTCTCCGAGGCACCGCGAAGCGCATACCGGCTGTGCGCCAGTTGCTCCCAAGCCGCGGCTCAGCTGAATGGCGCCGCGGCTCAGCTGATTAGCGCCACCGCAAAACGCGCGCTGGCGGTGCGCTGCTTGCCCCGAGCCGCGGCTCAGCTGATGGGCGCCGTAGCTCAGCTGGAGAGACGCCGCAGCGCAGCTGAAGCGGCCTCTGCCCAGCCAGGGAAAGGGGAGAGGGGAGGCCACGCAATGTGCCGGACGGCTTGAGGGCGGGGCGCGTAAATCCCTCCCGGTGTGGCAGGAAGTTAAAAAAAACCCAAGCCATGAGATGGGGGGGAGAGAGGAGGAGACTACACGGACTGCTGGAGAGTGGAGGGATCCGGATGTCCTTGTGAACGTCTCCCAGGGCGCTCGGACGCCGTGAGTACAGATACCCCGCAGAGGGGTGGGGGAGGAAGGAAGTAGCCCAGGGCAGGGCGGTGAAACAGCCCGTGGGCTGGTGCGTTTAGGGGCACAACCCCGTCAGCCGGACCGAGACTGGGGCGCAGTCTCAGTCCTTAGGGCCCTGGGCTGGGGCCCGAGAGTGAGGGTGGGCCCGGGCCCCCCTTCCTTCCCCCAACCGCTAAAAGGGGGAACGTGATAGAATCCGACGTGCAGCAATAAATCGACCGGCTGGGAAAGCGGCTGGGACCAGAACGTGGGAGGGGGCACGGTCACAGGCCTTTTGATTTCTACCAGTAAAAGAGTATCAAGCCCTAAATAAAGTACAGTATCAACCAGTAGGCCTGAAAAACACACAGTCTCAACAAAAATGGAAGTTGTGTTTACTGATTACTGTGGCTCTTAAAATGCCATTTTTAAAATGTAGTCCCTACTGTAATACCAAACACACAGCTTTATCCATGTCACTGTTCACATGTAGCAGGATGCTTTTCAATAATTTCTGCTTTAAATATACATTGAAATCTTTCTTTCTATATATAGATAGAAATAGTGAGCATCGCTTTTTCTTATATACATATATTAGCTCACTCACATTCATGCAGCTCTCCACACACATCTCAGGTACTCATCAATTACGCTGATATGGAATATATCAATTCTGTCAGCAGAAGCTAGAGTTCAGGACTTACATTGACAATTCTTTGGATCAAGAGCATTTCCAAAATATCCATCAGCACACATTTCACAGTATTGGCCTGTTATACCAGGTTTACATATCAGGCAAGCTCCAGATAAGCTGTCACAGCTGCCAGGAACAGAGAAGTCAAGGTTGTCATTACACTGGCAGGGCCGGCATGATCCTCCTGGTATTAAAGGTTGTCCAAAATAGCCATCTGCACACCTACGACAAGAGATACTATCACTCAGAGTATTTACATAATCCTGTTAGGAGAAATGTTTACATTTTTGTTGTCTCACTAATCACTAAGGATGGTTTGATTTTCTTTTAAGTATTTCTTTTTCTTTAATCACCTTGAAAAACAGCATTGTACAGAACCAGCTGTAATCCTGCCAGCTCTGCTAGTAATTAGATTTTCAAGATGGGGAGAAATCTTGTCACTGGTACTGAAGACAAGACAGAAGCATAATAAGAAATCTGTCTATTGGCACTCTAGAGGAATTCAGGTCCATGTTGCAAAGCCTTTGTACAGCACATCATGTGTAGCTACCCAAATAGGTTGCTTTTCTGTACTCACTAATCAAGAAGGCTGACAATTTTTCCTAACAATACAGAAGCAATTTCCTGTTTGTCTGTCTGCTTGTCCATGTAAATAAATAAATATATTGATACACAGATAAATAAATACATCACATCTGCCACATAGAGCAATTTGTTTAATACTACAAGCATGTCTGTCTGCCACACAGAGGTTATATTGAGAGAATGTAATGTAATGTGAGAACTACTAAGTTTTAGCTAAATAAGATATACTGCACCTTAATTTCAAAAGAGGGATGCTAAGATATTACCTGTTTCTCTACCAGTTGCTTTCTCCAGGCTCTATGTAAAAAAATAGTGAATCTGAATGCACATGGCATGTTTTGAAAGTGTATCTTTACTGTTGCAGCCCATTTCTATTTATATTCTGGTCTGCTCTCCCTTTCCACTGCATTTGCTCACACTTCACAGTAAGATCATTTTATTGTTAAAGGAGAAGTAAAAGAAAGAACGTAAAATCTCCTAGTTCAGGCTAGTAATTGATGTTTATGTCATTTCACAAGAATTCAACATAAAAGAAGGCCAAAATTCTACTAACCTCCATGTTATTTAAGCCAGGAACTCCAACTAGTAGACTGTTTTCAAATCAGTCCAAAATCAACTCTAATATTTTGACAGTATCAGCTCTACATCATCACATATCAGGCAGGATACAGGAGCAAGAATCTTGTACATTTTGCCTGAATAGACCCATAAATCTTCACTACACTTTTCCTCCCAGAAGTTCAGGGGCAACTTCACTCTTTTCCATCAAGTCCACCTCAGCACATCTCATCATTGCTTCTAAAGGGATCCTAACACCTTTATTATAACGGTCTTATGAAATGACTATTAGATCTAACAGAGCTCATAAAGCATTGGATGATTGAGATTAGAGAGGAGATTCTGTCTGAATCTGATCAAATCTGTCCATTGCAGGATGCTATACAACTTAAATAAAGTATTCCAATTCCTCCACCATATCTAAAATTAAAAACTATTATGGTCTAGATTTTGTAAGCCTTACTCATACAAACAGCCCAAATGGGACTAAATGTATATGTACACCTCAGTGTGAGTAAAGGTTGCACAACATCAGGCCCGCCCATAGAGGGAAACTATGGGGGTAGTTGCCCCGGAGCATGGCAATTCAAAAAGGCCTGGGGCAGCCAGCTGCTGCTACTGCAGGAGTAGCTGCAGCCACTAGAGCCTTGGACCCTTTAAATTGCCACTGGAGTTCCTCCCGGTGTTCTCTAGATGGCTCTCAGGGTTGCCTGATTGGGGTAAGGGGAGGGCAGAGGGGGGAGGACAGCACAGCACACTCCAGGTGGCACTGAGGACTGGCTGCCTTTCCAGCTGAGGCCCCGCCCCTTCTGGGAGTGCACAGCCAGTCACCACCCCGAAACATTGTCCAGGGGCCTGGCAAGTCTGTCCGCTCCCCTGCACAACCTGCTCTATGTTTTATTTCTTATGCATGACCTTCTCCAATCACTGCTGTTTCACAAGAGAAGAATAGGATACAGTCAATGGCCTTTAGGATAGTGTACCACACTCTTCTTGATTTACTTTATATTCAGAACTTGTCATCAATTTAGAACATATTGTGTTTTAGTCACAGCAAAGCAACGAATATTCCTCCATGGATGTGTAACCACCACTGGATGGTGATATTCCTCTACTGGATGTGTAACCACCATCGGGCGGATTTGAACCTGGGACCTCTGAAGCTTAGTATATGAGCTGCTACCCTCTGAGCTTTTAAAAGCCAGATAGCTCCCAGCCCATGCTGTAGAGGTCTGTTGGTTTTAACTGCTGCTGAGGTCTAGGTGCTACTGCATTGGTCAGTGAACCACACTAGGGCTGTGTCCAGACTCAGGGGTTTTTTCGGGAAAAGTAGCCTTTTTCCGAAAAAACTTCCCCTGCGTCCAGACTCAAGCCGCGCTCTTTCGAAATTAAATCGAAAGAACGCGGCTTTTCTTTCGATGGCGGTAAACCTCATTTCACGAGGAAGAACGCCTTCTTTCGAAAGTTCCTCTTTCGAAAGAAGGCGTTCATCAATGTAAATAGGGCTTCTTCGAAAGAGAGCATCCAGACTCACTGGATGCTTTCTTTCGAAAAAGCAAGCCGCTTTTTCGAAAGTTCAACGTGCAGTCTAGACGCTCTCTTTCGAAAGAGCCTCTTTCGAAAGTATCTTTCAAAAGAGCCTCTTTCGAAAGAGGCTTGCAGTCTAGACATAGCCTAGGAGTGTGGGTTACATATGTACAGTATTTCAGCAATGATTAAAGATTAGTTTCAAACTTACTTCCTTTACAATGAGTTACTACATTTATAGAGATGACATCTTATTTACAAGAGCCTAGGAACTCTTCTTAAGACAGGTTCCCAAGTAATATAGGATATACTTTCCCCAAAGTGGAGAAACTACTGAATTTTCCATGTAAAACTTTATTATAAGTAAAAAGAATGGCACATCAGGAACATTTCACCTATGCTTTTCTTAAGGCATTCACATGTGAATAGTAAAAACCTTGTTATTGTTGGACGTATAGAAGATAAATCTATAACTTCCTGTGTTACTAATCTCTTTTTTTTCTTTCCTCAGTGCATATTCATTTTTCTCTTTTCCTTCCATTTAGGCTTTAGTTCTGTATCTGATAATACTCAGAGAAACTTCAAAGCCATTCATATTAAAAATACTCCATGGATTTGAAAGTACTATGGCTGCTAATCATATAACACTGGTATTAACAACAATAGACTTTGGTAGCTTCTTGTATTCTGGTTAGTTCAAACTGATAATAAAATATATAAACCACAGCCTCATGGACCTTGTCAGCATTTCAAAGCTATACTCTACCCAGAGCCATACTTCGGCTATATAGGGCCCTATGCAGTACTGTTAAATTCATGACCCTAGGCCAAATGGCAGTCGGAGGCTGGGGATGATTGTTTATAGATGTGATTTTATAATCTTCAGCAATGCACTAACACTATACCTTTAGAGCAAATTTTAAACTAAGGTCCTGTAGACTAAGGCAGTAGATACAGAAACTGACAATATATACCGGATTGGCAAATGCCTGTTAAATGACTTTGTTACCACTTGAATGGCTCTTTCATAAGCTTCTGTGCTCTGCTAATAGATCTGACAAGCTTTTTCACTTTTAAGTTAACTAGAGCCTCTCCAGAGAAAGTGAAGCCACAGAACAGGGATAGGAAGAGGCAGGTGGGTGGACATTAAGACCCTTTGGTGCCCCAAATGTGCTCTATGCAGCTGCATATTCTGTGTATGGGTAAGGATGGCCCTAATTCTAACTACATTCACATATTGTCCTGAACCCTGATTACATTTTGAAAACAGGTAGAAACAAGGGCACTAGTTCTCAACCATGAGAATGGGGCACCCCAGGGGAGGCAACAATCAATTTTCAGAGGGTCCTCCAAGCTGCACCAATGTTAGACTCACTGAGGGATGGGGGCAGGACAGAAAGGCAAAAGACTAACCCCATGGGTCTGAAGCCTCAGGCACTAAGCTCTGCCACCCAGGGCTGAAGCCAAAGCCTGAGTAACTTAGCTTTGTGGGGGGCCCTGTGGCTTGGAGCCCCAGGCAATTACCCTGCTTGTTATCCCCTAACACCAACCCTAACTTTTGTATGTGGAAAACCAGTTGTTGTGGCACAGGTAGGCCTTGGAATTTGCATAGCATGTTGGGGGACCTCAGAAAAAAAAGTTGAGAACCCCTGATCTATGGTAGCTCTATCATAGAACTAAGGTGTTCTCCCTCCCCCCGATCCTTCCACTTTCCTATATGTCCTCTTTTTAAGACAATTTCACTTCTGCTGTTCTCTGATTCAATGTGCTATGCCTTTGGGAAGGCTCATGTAAATGAAGAGCAAAGCTTTGTGTGACATGGACAGTAAACTTCCTGCATTAAGGGTGGGAAAAAAACCTAAGAAAGACAATTCTGATTACTGGAGAAAAGCTTTATGGACAGAGTGAGAAAAACTGTAATAATCTTTCAGTATTTTCCCTCTTTTCATTTAACTCACTCTTCTGCCTCCCCCATTTTACAGGTATCCTGTGATCTTCTGTTTCTATCTGGTTTTGCTGTTCTAGTCAACCTGGAAAACGTATAAGCCCTTCTCTTACCACCCATAGGCTGCATTCTCACAAGCAGCCATAGAACACCAGAATGTGCTTCTCATTTAAAGAGGCCTGCTCATGGAGTACGGTACTACTCAACACTAGTGAAGTATTCCACCCAGGCTAAATCCTTTAGTACTCCCGTTGCTTGGTTATTGCCTCTTCTCACTATTTGGTTGAGCTTGACATAGGTAGCAACCATTAACTAATTTCCAACCAATAGAAAAATCACTTTGATTCAAGAGACCCTATAAAATGTTAAAAATTCTTTACATTGCAAAGCCAAGTGCTCTAAAGTTTGGAAAATAATGCATTCCTGGTTGCCTATTCAACCTTAATTTGGTTCCTTAGTGCTTCCAACCTATGCACTGAATGAAGCAATGGTGCCATGGGAAAATAGCATGTGATTAACCATGCACTGTGTAGTCAAATTAAGGTTGTATGTACAACTATAAATGCTAATTTTTGAGTGCCTGGCTTTGCAACCTAAGCAACATTCTTTTCACATTTTAATTTTGTTCTATATTTTTAAAAAAACAAAGAAAAAACATGTTCAATTTAAATAACGCCTCCCCCTCCTTGACACTAATTTACATATTTTGCTCCATTCAAAAACAGCAAAAGCGGTGAGGATTCTTGTGGTTTGTATGTTGCCATTCCTAATATCAGATTTGTGTCCATTGATTCTTTTACGTAGGGACTGTCCAGTTTGGCCGATGTATATAGCAGTGGGGCATTGTTGGCACATGATGGCATATATTACGTTGGTAGATGTGCAGGAGAACGTATCAGTGACAGTATGGCTGATCAGACTAACATGGCTACCCTTCTGATATCAAAAACAGCAGTTATTGCTGATGGAAACTGTCAATGACCTTGCGTTGACAAACTGCCATCAAAGTGTTCCTGATGTGATTACTTCCTGCAGTCATTAACTTCACAGCTCCATAGCTGAAAGGAGGAGGAAGATGTCCAAGGTGGACTGGAAAAGACAGGCAGAAATAGCACTCAGCAGGAGCAGCCACAGTGAAGATGGGCAAGTAGAGGAGACAGCCTGCACACACATACGTGCTCTGTGTAGAGAAATCACGGCACTATATGGGCTTTCAGTGGAAATCACTATGACTGTAAGTTGGAACAGCATGGCTACACAGGAGTAAATATACTAGAAGGTGAAAGAGGGTATAAACATGGAACCCTTCTCGTCTCTTTCACTTTTTTTTGGTCACTTTTCTTGCTACAATCCCACTCTCCCATTTTTCATCCTGTAACTTACATCAGTTTACACTCAGCGGCCTTCATTCACTTTATGGTCTATGCTGGAAGAAAACTCTAGCAGTGAGTCCCAAGGCAAAAAGTCCACCAAAAGAAAGGTCAAAGCAGCACTTTGGAGGATCCAGGATCTAGTCAGAGGTATGCAAATCAGGATGATATGCTGGATGGCCTGGGGGCCTAGGGATATACTAATTCAGCACTTCCCTTAAGTAGCTGACAGGGAGCACTGCAAACTCTAAGCTACCCCTCTCTAAGGGTTTCACAAAAGGAGATGACAGTGTAAACACAAGCAGTGAGGAGTCTGTGGCACCTTATAGACTAACCGAAGTGTTGGAGCATAAGCTTTTGTGGGCAAAAACCCACTTCGTCAGATGCATGTAGTGGAAATTTCCAGAGGCAGGTATAAATATGCAGGCCAGAATCACGCTAGAGATGACGATGCCCACTTTTAGTAGCTGATCTGGAGGTGTGAATACCAAGAGAGGAGAAGCTGCTTTTGTAGTTAGCAAGCCATTCACAGTCTTTGTTTAATCCTGAGTTGATTGTGTCAAACTTGAAGATGAACTGTAGCTCAGCAGTTTCTCTTTGAAGTCTGGTCCTGAAGTTTTTTTGCTGCAGGATGGCTACCTTTAGATCTGCAATTGTGTGTCCAGTGAGATTCAAGTGTTTCCCAACAGGTTTTTGTATGTTGCCATTCCTAATATCTGATTTGTGTCCATTTATTCTTTTACGTAGGGACTGTCCAGTTTGGGACTGTCCAAAAAAGCTTCAGGACCAGACTTCAAAGAGAAACCGCTGAGCTACAGCTTCTATAACAACCCAGAAGTGGGATGGGAGGATAGAAAAGTAACTTCATTAAACTTTAGGCTCTCCTAATACCAACAGCTCATGGAGGGAAGTTAGACTAAGACCAACTATACATGACTACACCAGACTGCCAGAAGCTGGAACTGGATGACAAGGAACGGACCACTTGATAAATTGCCATGTTTTGTTCATTCTGTCTGAAGCACTGGTACTGATTAAATTGCCATGTTTTGTTCATTCTGTCTGAAGTACTGGTACTGATCACTCTGAGAAGACAGGATACTGGAATAAATGGACCATCTCTCTGATCCTGTGAGGTCATTCTCATGTTCTTATATGCAAAGCTTCTCTTGTCTTTTTTATATAGGTTAAAATGAGATATTCTAAAGCAATAGATACATCTCTGAATTATTTATTTGGGCATTGTAAATTTGTTGTACATTTTACACACATTTTTCTGTCACTATTTAAACCCCTGTAGCTCCTCTTGCTAAGTAACTTACAATAGAAATGCAATAGAAATCTAGAAGCAACAAAGATTTTAAATATTGGCTTAAAATAATTAACACGGCAAATAAATCCTCTTAGAAAAGTTGCATTTTTGGCTGCACACTTTTCAAAAAGAAGCAACAGTGATACACTGAATAATTGATTCACCATGCTCTGAGCATTTGACTCACATTTTAAAGACAAAAAATAATTATGAAAGTTCAAAAGAGGTACAAAATAGCCAGAAAGCTAATATTAAAAACTCTGATTGCTTTCTGACAAGTGTCTTTTTGAAGTTGTAGTTAATATTTAACCTTCAAATAATAAATGATCCCTTTTTTTGCAACTGATTTACAAAGCAATGTAAGAAAACTAGTATATAAAATAGGTAACTATATCAGTATACATACTCTGTGACAGAGAAGTATGAATAGAAACCTCTTTTGTGAGTTCATTGTAAGTTTGGGGGCAAAAGGAGAGAACAAACAGGCATGATAATCCTATGTTGAAGAACACTCTTGCTTTAGATTTTAAGAGAGAAATGGTAAAAAAGAGAATGGCATGGCACTTACCTCTCACAACGTGGTCCTGCGTACTCAGGTGGGCACTCATCGCATGTTAATCCATGACTTCGGTCTAAATGACATGTTGGGCTAAAGCTATGTTGTTGATGTTGAGCAAAAACAGGGACAAAGAGGAAACATAAAAAAATAATCATTAGTGTTTTAATTCCCTTCTCTCACCAGAAAGCATTGCTTTGAAAACAGAGCACAGGGAAAGTCCCTCTGGTCCAGCACATGGAGTTTAGGGTTGACTCCAGCCAAAAGGAGTTGGAATGACTCTGCTATTTCTACCGACACTGGATATAGCACAGCTGATGGCACCATCCCAATGTCATATTATTATGGGACTTTAGCCTTTC